TGGTCAAAATGAAATTCAACATTTGATTGTCTTTTTCAACCCCCACCCTCCCCTAGCATGGGTACACATTCCCATATTCATGCATTTGTACGCAAATATCAAGGATAAATTAGAAGTTTATTAATAAAATATTTGACAAAATTATATGTTTCTTTAAATAGCGATAACTCGAGCTTAACTAGTTGGAAATTTTTTTTTTCGAGCCTAACATACTTTATTTAACGTGAGCTTTAAAATGAGACCAATATCGATATACTTTTGACATTTTTAAAAATATTTTAATATTTGACTCAACTAAAGTGGACAATAATGATTTTTCCAATTTTCTTATCATCAATAGATTATATAGTAAAAGAACTGTGTTATCATCAATAGATTATATAGCATAATAACTTCAACACAAAAAGATTGATGGTAAAGCCAATCGAACCACATGCTGCGTTACACGCAAGATGATTAAAGAAACTGTAGATTGAGTTTTGTTAATGAAGTCGAAGATCATGGTTTGGCATATGAAATATATGACAACGCAGTATGTAGTTCGATTGTCTTTACCATCAATCTTTTTGTGTTTAAGTTATTTTGCTATATAATCTATTGATGATAACACAGTTCTTTTGCTATGTAATCTATTGATGATAAGAAAATTGGCAAAATCATGCTTTTTTATTGTCCACTTTAGTTGAGNTCAAATATTAAAGTATTTTTAAAGATGTCAAAAGTATATCGACATTGGTCTCATTTTAAAGCCCACATTAAATAAAGTATGTTAGGTTCGAAAAAAAATATTTTCCAACTAGTTAAGCTCGAGTTATCGCTATTTAAAGAAACATATAATTTTTTCTAATATTTTATTAATAAACTTTTGATTTGTCCTTGATATTTGCGTACAATGCATGAATATGGGGATGAGTACCTATGGGGGAGGGTGGAGGTTGAAAAAGACAATCAAATGTTGAATTTCATTTTGACCACGGCTTATGTGGCAAGTGCCACGTAAGCAGTGGGTAAAGCTTCTCCTGCCCATCGGGAGTAGGAGAACGGGGCTGTCTATTAATAATGTACTAATTCTCGGAGTTTAACTTTAGCGAAAACTTGCTAGTTTGCTATTACTTCTATTAAGCATGCCTATCTTATGGCATTATATAATTTGTGCTTGTATAAATAAAAGGAACGGCCGGAGTTTGGAGAATCGCAGCCATTGATGAAGCTGGAGGATGGAAGGATCGAACAACAGTTGAGGATATGGATTTGGCTGTCCGAGCTAGTCTTAGAGGATGGAAGTTTTTGTACCTCGGTTCCCTCATGGTAAATATACACTTCATCTAGATAACCAATTATTGAAAAGAATAGATTTTGTTGTTCCAATCATGTAAATAAGTTCTTTTAACTACATAAATTCATAAAGCATAATCGTCAAAGTTGTTTCCCACTTGAGGGAGAAAAGGTTATTAGTCTATTACTAACATTCTGTAGAGGGAAAAGGCTAAGTGGCGTTTATCAGGTGAAAACGTCCATATTGACTAGGATGGATATCTCGTACCTGAAAACTTGCAGTTTGCCCTTACCTATGTTATAATAAGGAATGAAGGTCTGTATAAGTGAATGTGATTGTGCAAAATGGCAGGAAACGAAGCGATATTTTGGCATTACATATCATTTGTGAGCTGATCTTCTCTTCTCTTCTGTTCGATTTTTTTTCTTCACTAAGTTGAAAAACGAATTGCCAAGCACCTTCAAGGCATATCGCTATCAACAACATCGTTGGTCATGTGGNTTTTTTTCTTCACTAAGGTGAAAAACGAATTGCCAAGCACATTCAAGGCATATCGCTATCAACAACATCGTTGGTCATGTGGACCTGCCAATCTTTTCAGAAAAATGTTTATGGAGATTGTAAAAAACAAGGTTAATTCCTCACTCCCTTCCTCTGATCCTCAATATTATGGAATGAGCTAAAAAAAAACCCAATTTCTGATCGAACTTATCTCTCTCTCTCTTTTTTTTTTTGTAGAAAGTGTCTTTATGGAAGAAGGTTCATGTAATATACAGTTTCTTCTTCGTCAGAAAGATCGTAGCCCATATAGTCACATTCGTGTTTTACTGTGTTGTATTACCTGCAACCGTATTAGTACCTGAAGTTGAGGTTCCGAAGTGGGGAGCAGTATACATACCTTCCATCATTACCTTACTCAATGCAGTTGGGACTCCGAGGTTTGGTTTCTTAGCTAGGCTCTTTTTATCTGCGTTCGATTTGGTGTATCAAGACAAAGAAGCTCATGCTAGAAAACTAATTGTAAGCAATACGCGTTCATTTTGAAAAATGCGTACAACTTTCTTTTTATGAACTGAAGTGTGAATGAAACTAATCTGATACAAAAAAGAAAGAGATATTAAGTTGAACAACAACATGATTTTATTCTTGGCCTAATACAAGATGTTTGTATAGTCCTACAATTGAATTTCATTAAGGTTCTTTCATATTTGTTATTTTAAACATGTAGGTCACTCCATTTGCTGGTATTCTGGATCCTTTATGAGAATGTCACGTCCCTACATCGGACTAAAGCTACCTTCATTGGCTTGTTGGAGGCTGGGAGAGTGAATGAATGGGTTGTCACTGTGAAACTTGGGGATGCTCACAAGTTAAAATCAGCCGCTAAAGCTTTTAAGAAACCTCGACTAAGGATCGGAGAGAGGTATTTATACACACAAGATTGTATTGCTTTTTTGATAATTATTGTAATCGAAAGTAGGAATTAGGGTATCAACCATAATAGGCTCAAACATTAACTTGTTTGTTTTCAACAGGCTCCATTTGTTAGAGCTTGGTGCGGGCTCTTACCTCTTCTTTTGTGGGTGCTACGACATGGCATTCGGGAAAAACTACTATTTCATCTACCTCTTTGCTCAAGCAATAGCCTTTTTCATTGCCGGGTTTGGTTATATTGGGACATTCATTCCCCGGTCTTAGTGCGTTGGAAGGTGTCGTCTTCAAAAATCTCTCTTCGCAGTTTCTTCTTCCGCTCTCACATTTTTCACCTATACTACTTTTTACAATTCTTCGCTTGTAGAAAGAATACAGTTATTCTTTTAGGTTAAGTTTGTTCTCATGTATATTGTACAAGTGATCACAAAGGCTCATGTTTGTTTCCCAAAGCACACTGTAAGATAAAAGTTTTAAGATTATGAAATTTTGGAGTAAGTTCTCTTTTTCTAGTTGCAATTTTATTTCAATAAGCATATGACAGCACAAGAATCACTGTTTTTATGATGGTAAAAGATATAATTTCGATCTTAAATACAATCTACGATTGATTTTCTTAATTTTCAATAAGCAAATGACAGCACAAANAGTTGCAATTTTATTTCAATAAGCACATGACAGCACAAGAATCACTGTTTTTACGACAGTAAAAGATATAATTTCGATCGTAAATACAATCTACGACTGATTTTCTTAAATTTTGGTGCCCATGGCGTAAAACATGTACTAAAACATTTTCAGATAGCAGTAATAAAAACTTCCCACCGTTGACGTGGCAAGAATCATAACTAAGGTTCTCTTATCACGTTAGTGGAAAGTTTTTATCCTATCCACTTGGGAGAGGAGATCAATTCTATTTCTAATAGAGTTAATTTATAAAAAAATCAGTGAACTTTTCTTTTGTATGTTCTTGCCATGGCCTGTGGTGGATTGAAAAGGGCATAACAGGAAATGCAACAGAGAAAGATTTAACCATCATGAAACATCAATGCACTAAAATCTGCACAAAAAATTAGTTATTAGCTTTCACCAGAACTATAAATAATTTATTTCTGAGCATTGACTCACTGAGACAGACATAATAGGAAGTTTGTGAAGGACAATCCGAGTTTTCAATGGACAATCCGATCATCATCGACTCGAAAGACTATGAACAAATGCATGATGTTGTTCTCTACATTCCTCAATCTGGGTACCGTTGACGTCAGATGAGTGCTTAACAAATCCCATTTCCCGATGTGATGCGAACTTAAAGTTGGTAATGGTATTGTCAATCGTGAGATCATATCGGTTGAAATCTATAACGACCTAAATTTTATATTCATTCAAGTCGCTACCAAATTCATAACAAATCATATTTCCAGTAAAGTCCAATTTTAGAGATGGTCTCATACATGATATCATATTATTTTAAATCATAACCAACAAATATAATAATAATTGACAAAGAAATCATGTCTTAAATAATGAATTAAAAGTCCTAATGAATTAAACTAAATATAATGTTGAAATTAAAGGTGTTCGTCAAGTTACACCAAATTTAATTTATTGAGTCCAATAAAGCCTAGCACCACGACTGCCAACCATCGCCCGCCAACCATCAACATGTTCTAACCTATGAGGAGTAGGGGAAATGGGTGAGTATATGAAAATACTCAATAGGATAAGGAAAGATTGTTCAACCCCCAAAAAATATTAAAATCATACGTCAAAAATATCATACTGTCATATTATATCTTTAGAAATCAGTAAAAGCTCATAACACATCATATCTTTAGTACTGGGTGGTCATTTCATATCATATCATATTGTAACTTTTATTAGCATAATATTTATCAATATGAAAATAAATAATTTAAACGGAATAACATCATTTGAACCTCGCAATCATACATTTGTTGTTAAAAGGAGTTGCTGGAAGAAGAGCAAGTATTTCACGTTTTCAAATCCTTTCTCTATTGCTGTCAGTGTTCTAAAAAGCGCGCTTAGGCGCCGAACGCTCACCTTGAGCCTAAGCGGGAATTAAGCGGTCAACGACAATGTTGACCGCTTAATGTTCGTCGGGCGCCTCAGGCCCAGATTTTAAGGGGGCCCAATTTTTTTCTTTTACTAAAAATAAAACCCACAACCCAGACTCAGTAGCCCACTATCCCTTCAAACTTCAAAAACTCCAGATTCTAAATAAATAAGAAGACGAAGAATGAGAGAGAAAAAAAAGACGGAAGAACGACGCAAAACCTCTCAATTTCTTCGCACATCGTACTGATTTGAGTACCACGTATGTATAAGAAATGATCAAAATAAAATAAGGGAACCCGAGAATGATGATTTTGTATCGGACGATACGAAGGACGAATTAGATGAAGAAGAGATATTGAATTGGAGTTCAATAAAGAGTTAAATTAGATAAGATTTAAGCTACAAGTTAACTATGTTATATAATTATGATTTTGAAACTTATCTTTATGTAGGAATTATTAAGTAAATACTGTATTTTATAATTTTAGATGTTTAGTCTGTATTATTTGAATTATTGAATTTTTTTACAATGATTAAAAATTTAAAATAAAATTAAAAAATGAAAAACGTTTTTTGACGCTTAGGCTCGTAAAACTTGAAGTTTGGCCTCCACGCCTAGTCACGTTTTATGCTTTTTAGAACACTGAATTTGTCATGTCTAATTATGTGTTCCGGTTAAAAAAGAAAATATCATTCATCTATTATTCTCAACTTGAGCTTCTTTTTTAAGGTATACTCTAATCATTCCACGTGAGATACATGTGTGAACCATCCATAACTCTTCTATCACAATATTTGGACACGCGTTTTCCTATATAATGGCCTAAAGTTGCTCATTGTTTCAATTTTATAATGCACCGTGTTTGTCAACTTATAAATTTCACACTCAAACAGCAATTTACCAATTTTCAAATCTAAGGACATATGACATATTAATAGTGTGAAGTCATAATTGCCGGTACCATGCAAGGAAATTCCTCAAAATATAATTATTCAAAAAAAATTATCTTTCGAATGCAAATAAAATAACTCATTTTTTTTTTTTATCAAAAAAAAATAATAATAACTCATTTTTTTTTGTTTTTTTGACTCAATCCCAACAACTAACACGCGAGCCACTTTCACAAGTCAAAATTTAAAATAAGACACCCCATACACGTGGCAGAATCTCCATTTTCCATTCAAGTTTTTAATTTATTTGATAAACTAGTTTTAAACAACTTCTTCAAACTAAAATGTCTTAGGGCTGAGTTATCCAAATCGACTTTTTCTCGAGCTTAATATGTATAATTAATTACGATCTATCAAATGAGCCCAATATCCGTATATTTATAATTGCTCCATCAATATCTAAATATTTGACCCATATAAAATGTAATTTAATATGTATACACTTTGGTTCCTAACTTACCAAAATATTACAATATAGCATACCATGAAAATTTTAAGGACTTTATAAAATTCCACGGGATGAACACCATCTTTTATTTGACATTCAACACATCAACGAGTTGGTCGACAATGTTGAACTGGGTTTAGATGTCATGGGAGATGTCATAATCATAAGCTCCGAAGACGAGAATGTTAATGAAGTGTGTGTTTGGTAGGGATTTTTGAGGGAAGAATTGATTTTTGAATAGTGATATAATGGGAAATGTGTGGTTGAAAAAGAAGAAAAAAGTATTGATTTGATGGAAAATATTATNCTGTTGGTCTTTCGAAAACTAAACGACATTTAGAGTGTGTTTGGTAGAGATTTTTGGGGGAAGAATTGATTTTTGAATAGTGATATGATGGGAAATGTGTGGTTGAAAAAGAAGAAAAAAGTATTGATTTGATGGAAAATATTATTTTATTGAAAAATGTGTGTAATTAGCACATAACGTCCTAACATTTCACTGTTATTATAGAAAACGTCCTTACATTTTATTTCTTGACATTTTCACATTTCCTTGCGCAAAAGTTCATTTTCATCCATTTTCTCAATTAAAATTGTGAAATGACGAATATACCCATATCTTTAAATAAAACAAAAGAAAAAAAACTAATTGTAACCTTAGTCCCAATTTTTTTAAAAAATGCGCAAATGAGTCACAAATAAATCATTTGAAAACTTTTAATTATTTTAAAAAAAGTGCAAAAGAGTGCCAAATTAAATTTATTTAAATATTTAAAAAATAAAAAAGTGCAAACGAGTTCCAAATAAATTATTAAAGAATTAGAAATTAAAAAAATTATATAAATTGGAGGGTATCTTCATTATTTCACAGTTCTTTATTAAGAAATTGGATGAAAATAATGATTTTGACCAATCAAATGGGTAATTAAGGGTGAAGATGCAAAAAAAATGAAAGATAAGGACTTTTTGTAATGACGGTGAAAGGTAATGTCATTATGTATTAATCACCCTTTTAATAATTTATTTAGGACTCATTTGCGCATTTTAAAAAAAAAATTGGGACTATAGTTGNCCAAAAGCCTGCAGGCTCATCTAAGACGAGCCCATCAATTTAAAAAAATAATAATAAAATAAAATAAAAATGTTTGGTGACCAAAACGAAAATCAGTGACCGTTCTGGTCACCAAGTGACCAAACGGTCACTGAAAATCAGTGACTGTTCTGGTCACCAAATTTAAGTTTATTTTTTTTAATATTCATGGGCTCGTCTAAGACGAGCCTGCAGGCTCGTGGGCTCGTCTCACGAGCGGCTCGGCGAGCCGCTCATGAATAGTGACGAGCCGAGTGTCTAGCCCACCTGCCCGCTCGGCTCGTACTCGGGCTCTTTTTTTACGAGCCTGAGCGGCTTGTAGGCGTGAACAGTACGAGCCGACGAGCCGCTCGGCTCATTTGACACCACTAGTTATTATAGAAAACGTCCTTACATTTTATTTCTTGACATTTTCACATTTTCTTGCGCAAAATGTCATTTTCATCCATTTTCTCAATTAAAATTGTGAAATGACGAATATACCCATATCTTTAAATAAAACAAAAGAAAAAAAAACTAATTGTAACTTTAGTCCCAATTTTTTAAAAAATGCGCAAATGAGTCACAAATAAATTATTTGAAATTTTTTAATTATTTAAAAAAAAGTGCAAAAGAGTCTCAAATTAAATTTATTTAAAAATTAAAAAAATAAAAAAGTGCAAACGAGTCCCAAATAAATTATTAAAGAATTAGAAATTA